TATGGGTGAAAGGCCATTTAATCTTGTTTGTTGACTCGCATTCAAAATGTTATTGAACTACTATTTCATGAACTTATGTCAATAAGTTTGGTATCAAACTGTAGATTATAATTCAGATTTTAGTACTATACATTACTCAATTTCTAATTTAAAATTAAATATTCAAAAACACAGATAAACATCGATTTTTGTGTGTCATGTGGTATGTTGAATGTAGCACTGGTTCAGTTTAGATGTTTGTGAAGTCAAAATAATAAGTCTGCAGTTTCATACGAATTAGAAGCTCAAATTACTGATATTGACAAGCTAGAGTATAAAATAAGAATGTCATATCTTTTCTGTTTGCTAAGATATTGCTCATGTAATAAATCAAACACAGTGGTACCCCACCCACATCTTTCCATTTTTGGAAACACTCCCTTATATACACTTCTATATATGACATGAATAACCAATCATAAGCTCAGAATGTCCCCCTTGTGACTTTCTCAGCCATTTTAACAGGCTTAGATGGCATTTCTTTCTTTTGAACCAATATTTCAAGGTAGTAGGGTGTGTCTTTAGTCTGCACGAAATTTCATATTTTCTAGACTAAAATACATCTTAGTTACCAAGCTTGATAAATTAAAGTGGAATTCTGTGGTATTGACATAGTGATTTATGATTTTTTAGTTACTCAAATGTGTGTATAAAACCTAAAAAAATTATTTTGTTTCAAATCCTCCACGTGCAAAATTTTTAATGGCTTAGCAACCTACATCAAGCAGCAACCATGTACAAAGATCGTAACTGGAAGAGATAATTATTTGCTTTACTTCTTTATATACTATTCTATGTTTTAAGAAAAAAGAGTTTAACTACTTATTTCAAAATAACAATAATCTATATACATATATAATGTATAATAATTGGAATGTGACACTATTTTACAAAATACTAGTCTACTACAACACAGACAAGACAAGTTACTTATTGAATACGGTAACATGAATGCACTGGGTTGTTGCCTTCCTGTCTGGGACCCAACTTTTGGTGAACCAGTGGTACTTGTAACTCTCTCTGGTTTGCTCATCCATCTTATTGTGGGTATTCTGGCTTTTAATATTTCAGAAATAAGCCTGCCTGATATGAATTTTGCATTTTTAGAATTAAAATTAGATTCAAACAGGTACTTATCTCTGAAATGCATTCCCACCCACTTCACAATCAGAAGATATGTAGTTTTCTATCACTTCTGCAGCTAAGAGATCTGGATTATGTTAGTTATTCTGAGGCAGGTGCAATAAATTATGTGGAAAGTTGAATAACCAATTATTTCTGCTGTTAAATTAGTGATATATTTAATTTAGCAGTTTCATTAGTTTCACAGGACACCGAAAACTATGACACATAAATTATGGAATGAGTAAAATGCAGTAACAATACTGGAACAAATAGTCATATGATAATTCCAAGTAAATACTCATATTATAGTAACCCTACTTAATATCTGCAAGAACACTATGTAGTCTTATTTAGACATGTCCAGTGTTCCTTTAAACATCAGACTTCTTAACTTCAAGTAATGAACAATGATATCTAACTGAGAAACCTTAAGGAGAAAGTAAACATTGCAGTGAGCCTTCAAAAAATAAGTGATTTGTATCTTTACAGTAATGCAAATGTGTATTAACCATCATCCAAAGTCTTATGTTAACAAACTTAAAATGAATATATAGTTTCCTTTAAAACAATTGGGTTACGAATGACTAACTCTTTACTGAAGGAGAAAGGAAGAAAAAGATGAAGGACGGTATGAAAGAGCAACACTAGCAAGTTATCATTCCAGTTCAAAATGCAGTGTATCTAGCTCCTGCGTGTGCCCTCATTTTGGTTATAACCAATTTCAGTAGTCATAATGATCAGCATGATGTTCATATACTTTGTTAATTTCAAATGAACAAACAGTTCATTTTATTCACAAAATCATGTGAATGACACCTCTTGTTGAGAATTTAGCCACTTTATTCAATACCCTTCTGTTTTGTACTAAATTGTTTTGCCAGAACTAGTTTATCTGGAGAACTGTGCATTCAAAAATAAAAAAAACTGACTAAAGATGTTTATGACTAGGAAGTTGGTCAATGTCTATTACATCTTGTAAGTTGTTAAAGAATGTTCTCAGATGTTGCTTTGCAAAAAGTTATTTTTGAAATATTTCACAATGTACTGCTTTATTACACAATAACTACTTGAACTTTTGTTAAGTTTTGGTATAAGTAAGAGAAAGTAGACAATGAGAACATCTAAAGATACATGAAAGATACAGAATCACAGAGTTTTATTGTATTTTAGATATTGTTCTAAATAATAGACTGATATTTAGAAACAGCAAGAAGACAAAAACATATCAAGAAACTTTGTTTTGATTACCTTGATTTGTAAGTATTTTTGAAAATTGATTTGTAATATTTACACTTAGTATTCATTTCATAAAAATGTATTTAAAATCTAATAATGTAAGTTGATATCATATAAATACTTTTTCAAATTTACTAAATTTTGTAATTCATCAACTTAGGCTATAATAAATCTAGTTTTTCTTTTTTCAGTGATGGCATCTTAGATGATCCTTTTATTATTGGAAATTGTGAGCATGTGTTTTGCAAGTAAGTAATGTATTTTGTCTTAAAAATGAACAGTTGATTTGGGTAATAGACGACATTTAGATAAAAGTATTGTTTTAACAACTTCTGTCATTGGGTTTTCTTTTTTTTTTAGATTTGGTAAAAAATAATTCCATTCTGCTTAAAGCTAATGAAAATGTTTTTTCTGAAACAATCTACTTACCTGTCTGTGCACTAGTGATTTCTCGTGTGCTTGCCGTTGAGACTTTGTGCATGCCACTAGCCTTGAACTATCTTCCACCTAAACCAGGTATTTTGATGTGAATTGCACTAGTACATGATGTAATCATTATGCTGCAATAACCTTCTTTAAGTAGGAGGGTGATACGTCCATGAGCAGTTAATCCCTATAAGCGCTTATGCTTAATATTAAATTCATTCTTAAGCTCGACACTGCTGTTGATAGACATATTTCGATTTGCTACAAATTCTAAAAGATTTTGTTTGACTTTTTGACTGTTTCTCATGATTTTTGTGAATTTCTGATTCCATTTCTCACTTTGTTCTTTTGAACAGTGGTTCACTAAAACCTATGTTAGGATTACCCTTCAGATTGTTTTTCAACCCTGCTAACTCATGTTTCTTTGGCCTCATCTGCCCAAGGTTCTAGCTCTTTTCATGAAGCTAAAATTTCATCTGGAATAAGACTAGTTAAATGTCCTCTGGTATGGTTGTTTGCAGAAGTCGAGAAACCATACAACATAATGTCCAATTCCTTACTGATTCTATTATGTTTTTGGTTGCTGGAGTTTCTTTTTCACCATTAATGGATTTTGCCTTCCTTCCCAGTCTCTCTTATCTCCTGTGCATTCTCCATTCCTGAGCCAAAGTTGACAATTTTGTACAGTTCTTTCCACTGTCTGGTTTTGCTATGGCTTTGTTGTTCACTGTTGAAGATCACATAATTCTTCTCTCTCTTTGTTGATCATGTCTGGTTTGTACAATGCTTTCCCTTTTTTTTGTGTTCTATGTTTCTTCTTGTTCTTTATTCCATTCTTTCATGCTGTAGTTTGTTTTTCCCCCACCATCTGACTTTAGTATCCATGGTGAGGTCTTTTTGTCTCAGCATCATTCCCATTCTTCCCTGCCTCACCCTCCTCAATTTAGTTCCTTTAAAATGGCATATAGTTTTTTTCCCTTCTGCCTTTTTGGATCCTCAATCCTTGGAATCCTGTTTGCCTGATTGGGTGTTAACCCTCTGTCTCCAGTCTCCCTTACCCTGCCTCACTTTTCCTGTCTTCACCTTCTCTGTGCTCTATCTCTTCACTGTCTGTTCTGTTATCTCCTGTCTTCACCTTCTCTGTGCTCTATCTCTTCACTGTCTGTCCTGTTATCTCCTATCTGAATCCATTGACCAGGATTTAGATAATTTTTCTGGGATATCTGTGGTCACTCCTTTTCCCTACTTAGGCCAGTATCTCATCATTGGCTATCTTTCTCCTCGCATGGTTTTTATATAGTTGAGACCTATTCAGTCATGATACACTTTTCTATGTTTTTCATCTTTCTCAATCTTCCCTATGTGGCTTGTGTATAGTTCCACTTATTTACTGTAAGGTGTATGGAGTGTTACTCTCACCTTGGTGTGTTGAGCAGAAGTTGCTTGTCATAATTTTTCTCTCACTTATTTATTCTTATGTCTTGCATATTTCTATGCATCCCCTTAGATTTGTTGGCATGTGTACCCTCGTTCTCTCTCACATTTTCTCTTCCTACCTGTACCTCCTCTTGCCATTTCCCTTCCTGAAGGGTTAGTCTTTTTCCATCCTGTTGGTGATTACCTCTTTGTACCTGGTTTGCTCAGGTCCCGAGGGAACACTTTTCTTTTTGCTAATCATAACTCACTTAATGGCCTACCATTGGGTCACTCACTTCACTTCTTTTCCTCCTCTTCTTTACCCATTGTTTGTTCTCCACTTTCCGATCATCAGCACTATCACTGTCTCAGGACACAGTGTTGGAGCTCTTGGGCTTGAATGCCATAGAATGTCACTTCGCCCTCTCCAATGTCTCTTCATTGTCCTCTTGAATTCTGGAGAATGACGTCCCCTCATTGTACTTCTTTTCTGAACTACTTCTGATTATTTCACAACTTCAGAGGAAAGGGTTTCTTCCTATTAATAGCTTATTTTTCCCCAGTCTTTTGATGAAGAAGGTCCATATCTTGGACACTTTTCACATTCTAATATCCCTCAGTATCATTGCACTTTCTTTTGTTTGTCCATTATGATACAGTATGCTGGTTTCAGGTTATACCCTTTGGCATGACTTCTGCTCCTTATGTCTCAGCTAGGTCATGAGAGCTTTTGCTTGCCACATCCACCGTTTTGTCCTTCATTTCCATATCTCTCTTGATGTTTAGCTACTTTTTGCTTCTACCCAGTAGACCTCTTCTATAGCCACATCTCTTTTCCTCCAAGAGGCTGTTCATCAGGTGCCTGGTCACCTCAAGTCTTGTTTCCTGATCTCACAACTGACTGTTCTGGCTGTGGACATCCTCAGTCTTTATTGGTTTCTTCTTTTTTGTATGTGTTCCCTGCTATCTACCTTCCTCCACATGTCTTGGCAATACTCCTTATTGAATCCTGTTGGTAGTACCTTATTGGCCAGTTCTTTCTTGGTTTCTTCTTCTTCTTCACTGACTAGCATCTTGGGCACCTCTTCTTCTTCATCATCAGGTTCTTCCTGCTCTAACCTACCACATTACTTTTTCATCTGGGAGTGTCATCTCTTCATGTGTGGGATTATTCATTCCTTCCTCAATGGGCAGTTTTCACTCTCTCTATTCCCTGACACACATGGCATTTTGATCACCACTGTCCATCAGGCACTCTCTGCCTTCATGCCATCCTTTTGTTGTTCATCATTTGGAATTCTTTATCAGGCTGTTTGACCAAAGATTATTGGTCTACACTATAGTGGGACATTGTATAGCCTTATCAGCTACCTTTCGTGCTGTGGTTCTGTCTTTTTACCCCCTGACTTTCTTTGTCTTTTTTACTATTCTGGCTCATTTTTTTTATTGGGACCTTCTTGTGGTTCTTTACAGTTTTCCCCATACCCTGTTTTAACCTCTGAACACTTGTTCCTTCTCTCACCTTTCCTTGGAAGCCTCTTTCCATTTCCTTCTGAATTGAGGTCATTGCTGTACTCATATTTATGCCTTATGTGCCTCCTGTACTTTTTTCTTCAAATCTTACCCCCTTTTATTTCCTGACTCCTCATTTTTTCCTGCCACAAGGGTGGTTAGTGAAGGTGATGGGTCCTTTTCTCACATTTTTTGTTCCATCATTTTCTGCCCACAATGATATTTCCAACCCTGGCCTTCTTTAGTTCTCCGTTTTGGGTGATCTGGTGTTGTTCAACTTGCACGACTCTGATTCAGTATGCCCGCAATCACCTACTCTTGTTATGTGACCCCTTTTTATCCAGGGATCTAAGTCTACTACTTTTACTGATTGGACTCAGTACTTCATCTGGGTCATTTGTTCTTTCCTAGAGTATGACATTCGCAGAATCTGTCATGTAACTTTTCATCAGATTTGTCCTTTGCGTCAGTTTGGCCTTGCTCTTTCAACGACCAGTGGACAAGAACTGACAAACAGGGAGGTGGACAATGTCTACTCAACTTCTTCATCATCTGGCAGTTTCATCTCCATCTAGACTTATTTTTTCTCCATTTGCCATTCTTCAGTCTACTCACCAATTTTAATGGTGTAAGTACCTCATTTATTTCTTTACCCACTTGTAATGATAGTCTCGTCTCCCCTTGGAAACCCACCCAGTGGGCAGTGTTGCCTCACTGGGTATACTTACTTCACTAAATTTACATTGAGTCAGAGGTAAGTGTTAAGCCCACCCAACCTGGTTCCTATGTGTCCACTGTTGAGTTGGGGGTTTTGCAAGACCATTACAGTGTTATATATCCCTTTATGTCTATTCTAGACTGTACCTTCCATGGCCTATCATGGAAAAAGCTAGCACTGGAGGAGTATCTGCTCACTTCTCTGGCTCATGCATGCTGACTTTTCAAAATAGGTTTTGTGATAACCCATTGCGCTTTCTCCTGTAAAAGACTTTTGTGGTGTTAGGTCTGATTGGGTCCAGGCACCTCTACAAAATCTCCCCAATGCAAATCCCTCCATGGTCTTTGAGTAGAACATGGGATACCCTTGCAATTCCTGGTTCCTAGCTGCTAGAGTGGTTGACTTGGAGAGTTATTCACTGGGTGTGCAATCCCTTTGTAGTGAGACTGAGTGGGCAGCACTATGTTGGAGGAAATAGGGAAGTGGTGTTCATGTCAGTGTAGTGCAGGTTCACCCTATTATACTGTATGCTAATCTTCTAGTGGTTTTGACTAGTTGAATAGGGCAAAGTGTTCTCCTTGGAAGCCAGGAAGGGACCTTAGTGCCCATTCCTGTATGTATGGTAAGTGAATTGTACAACAGAAAACTTACCAAACTGTAGGGTGTGATTATTGCCCAAGCCACACTACACATCATATCCATATGATTTGTTTTGTGCCAAAGCTTGGTTGGTCATATTTTTTCTGCCCATCCCTGCAACACATTGGCTTATTTTTGCCTTCCTCCTTTCATACTTCCATTCAGGAAAAGAGTATACCCTGCCTGACAAGGATGTAGTCTCCCATAAGTGTTGCCCTTCTAGTAAGCTCCAGCTAATGGGTGTCACACTGCATGGGCTTTTTCGCTTCTGATATTTATCTAGGTTTTCTTTTTTTGCCATGGCCCTTCCACCACATTAGTGGAGAGTTAAGTGAATTATTTCAAAAGTTAATGTTTTCCTTACCTGCAAATATATTTCTCATAGATATTTGCCTCTCTTCACACCTTCCCACTCTTCTTTCCCACTATCAGTGCACATTATTTTTGCTTCTTCTAAGAATGAAGTTAATTATAATTGCAAGTGCTTATGGGGATCTACCATGCATGGAGGATGTGTCACCCTACTATTGTTGGAAG